TGAATAGGAGACCTCCATACGAATGAATAGTCCGCAGTATGACGTCGATTCATCATTATGTATATCTACGCTAGTAGGATAGTATAGTCACCTACCCACTTACCATTTTTGTACAATAAATCTATAACATACCAATATAATATGGCTGATATTTCCACGAAACCTACATATGTAGTATTGTAAATACTTCTGTGTAAGTTAACGGTTCCATAAACTCCGGTACGGGTTTCAAATACTTAGGTAGGTACTTACGTATACGCATATTCATTTTTTAAATAAAAACTGGCGAACTGCATGGAAACTGCTCCGCAGTGCCGTAGGCGATGTGCTGCTAGGTTTTTGTTTAATACAAACTTTTTAATTAACATGCAAGGTCTGTCAAAGCTCATAATATCGGGAATGTGCAGCTACGCTCCAGTACGGAAGTGCGTCGCTGCAGCGCACTCCACTCCTACCCATTTCAAAAGGTTCGCATTGCACATTACAACTGTTTATAACACAAGCTCGTCAAACAAGTTTGCTAATTACTTACTATTTTTTTGCAATCATACATTTGCATGAAATTACTAGTATTCGTTTGTGGGTCAGTAGTTTCTAAGATATTTAAATGTTGTCAGAAATATGAATGAGTCGGTAGTTGATGTGTTAATTTGATGTTTGATTATTTTTAACCTTTATGAATGACGTCGATGTTTGGGAAAGCACAAAAATTACACGATGTTGAATTTCAACTTAAGAATAATTCTATTACTTGGAAATCAATATGATTTCACAATAACAAGAATTATTTTAAGGAAAAGCCTGACTTAGATGTCGACTTAAAAGAAAAAGAAAATAAAATACGAGTTTCGATAAAATATCGATGTAGTACCTAAAGTACTTGAAGTCAAATTTGAGTTTGTGCTAGTCTCCGAGTTCATGGAAACTATCGGCACTAATGCTTTCCGATCAAACTTTACTTCAAACTAAGTGCTATATACTTGGTATCTACAGAAGTACAGACTAATAAGATACTATGCAATTATTGCGTTTCAATTTCAAGCCTTTTTCAAACTAATTTAATGTTAAAAATCGTGCAATACGTTAATCAAATAAATAATTGTAGTCCTGAGATTTATGTTTCGACATTTATTAATCCTGTTAAGATGTACTTACAATGATGGCGCCTCATGTATATAACAAGACAACCTGTGTCGGTTACAGTTTACAGTAACAGTTTAAACATAAAACTATTTCCAATAAGTTTATTTAAAGTTTGTAAATTCACTCCAAGTTATTATCACACACAAGAGCACCTCCATTGCTTCCACATTCCTATAGTGAGTGAGTATTTGAACAAATAATCAACGTCTTCATATGACCAGCGATCTGTTTTACAAACAGTAGAAACTCACGTACGGCGTACAATCGAAGAAATAACTTTTTACAACAGTTTTTTCATTGTTGTCGATTTCATTTGCGGATTCTCGTCAATCAATGTATCGGTTACTCGGAGTCACGTACACAAACGTCAGCTCAGTACTTTGTACGCGATTGTACTTTAACAACCGTTTATTAGTGTGATTTCTTTTTTTTATATCATTTTGGTTTCATATAAACCTTGGAGATATTTAGAAATCCTGTTTTTCAGGAGGTTAACCAAGGAGACTTGTTCAAAGTCAATGCAGTTTCTGTAAATGATTTTCAATGGATTGTTATTTATTTATTATTTATTTATTTATTAATAATAAAGGTACATGGTATGCCTTATAATCTAACGCCATGTCCAACAAAACTATATGTAAATAGTTTGACTGTTGACTGTGTACAATGTAAATAAATAATTTAAAATACATGAATGCCTATTGTCATCAATGCGTATTACCCATGTGTGTATTTTACAGTTGATTTATTAGTTCCATGTAACTACAGCCTAACCGCAAAAATCAATTCCGTGTCAGTATCGAGAATTTCCCTGTAAACCTGCCTACATATCTTGCTCGTTCCGGATCATAGTAATATTCTAAACAAGCTTTATAAATTCATATTCATATAGAAACATTTCACTGTACAAAACGTTTAAAATGACTACGACTCGAAATGAAACAAGTATTTCGATTTTCAGCAGAAGTACGGAACATTTACAATTATATTTCAGTGCTGCAGTTTGAAGCGGCCGCTTGTAAAAAGCAGAGCGTTTAATTAAAGGCTTTTAACAGTTTTTAAACTAAAGCTGAAGAGAATGTAGAACATTTTATTTGCTTGAACACATTGTTTAATCTATGTCATTAAGAGAGTAGGTATGTTTTCAATTGATACGAAAATGTTTAGCTCTATAAAATATTATTTGTCTAGGAGCACTAGTGTAGGTGACACTCATGAATTTAAGTACCAATAATAGTCCATTGTAAAGATAAATAGATGATTAAAAATGTTTTAAAATTGGGTATTACATGGGACTCATAACATAAATAGTGAAAAGTGGGTGTTACTTCTGTGTGTACCTCCGCCTACCCTTTCGGGGATAAAAGGCGTTATGTTATGTTATGTTAAAATTGTGTAAGTTTAAGATGGACTTAGTGTTATATTAGTCACCGTTATTGACTAGAGTCAATGACTAAAATGTTCGACTCAGATGATAAGTCATCAATGAATTAAAAAATAATAATAACGATAGCAGTGACCAATAATGACCCAATCAAAGGGTTGCCTAAAAGCCGGTGTCGGCGCCCCCTGTAACTGTTAGCACACAAAACTGTTAAAGAACGAGTCCAACTTGTAATATGACGACTTTGTCTCAAGTAATTGGACCTCAGGGTATTCGCCGTGGAACGAAGCCTTTGTTTGAACAATGCCCTGAGTATTAATTACTTTGATTCCCATTGGGAATCCAACTTTGGAATTCTAAAGTAAAAGTAAACAGTTCCTTTGATTAATACAATTTTCATATGGAAATGGAACTTGTATTTGCTATCGAGGTTAGTTTTCGATCAAACATTTTTTAATATTTTATTACTCATTGGCTACAATGTTTCTTCATCTATCGCGTGTTTTAAATATAACGTTTATGGCCAGTGGGCAATGGTCACAATACTCTCTTAGTCATAACGAAACGAATTCAATAAATGTTTCTGACATGATTCACCGATGCACGTCGCTGCATACCTCGCTTTCCGTGGACCTCTTATTTAAATTTTGTTTTTGGTACGTCACAATAACATTTATTTAACAGTCAAAACCAGTTTCTTAATGTATGCATGCTGTCGTATACATTGTTCTAACAAAAATATGCTTTGTTGTTAAAACGCCTGATGAAATTAAATAGCAAGTAATGTCAGAATGCCAACTTAGTGGCAGTTGATTGTTAAGGGTTTCTGATCTCTCTGGCATTTCCAATAATATAATTAGTGCGTATTTATAAAAACAAACTGTATATTTATAAACTACTTGAAGTCCGTTAATTAATATACTAAATCCGTTTAAGTGTAACAAACGCTTTTTTGAAAACCGCATCAAAATAGGTTCAGCCAATAGCGAGATAATCGCGCAGAAACATACATACAAACATACATACAGGTTTTTTTAAGGGGGAAAATCATCGAATGACTGCTCCCGCCTGGGTGAGGCGGGAGGGAGTGTCTCTTACTGACTAAAAACCACCCCGTTTCTTCTCCTGCACGTCGAGCCGGAGCCCCGGTAACCTGTTAGGTTCTCCGCGACGACATACTTACAGATTAAACTGAGAACCTCCTTCGTCGATGTCGGTTAATAATCGATGAATTCTTCACTTTGGTATATTGCATCTGACTAATACTTTTCGCGCAAGTTAAGTATACAAATATCAAAATTAAGTTACCTAATTATGATATAAGGACAACTTGTGCGATAAATAAGTAAAACTATTCATTACATGCGTCAATTTGTGGTAATAACTAAATCAAAACTATTTCCTTAATAACTTAAACGTCAATGTGGTTTAATATCAGTGCTCAACTTACCAAAACTTTTGTAAAAGGCTTATTACCTATTTAAGTACCCAGAACCATAAAAGTTCTATTTACGGTCTATTTATATTTCAAAATAATTATTTGAATTTCAAATAGACACGCTGCTGAGTACCCTATACGGAATGTGTGATTTATTAAAATTATTATTTATAGGTGTGTTCATTTGTGTAACGGATCGTGTTAAATAACATTAGGGTCTATAAGTAAAGTTTTGTTAGTAATTACTGAAGGTAGACGTTGTGAAAATGCAGGAGGTGAGGGTGTTATCATCATTTAGATGCATGCATCAGCAGAACAAGTGTTACAGTTTGGCAAGAGTCCCGGTGACGGCGACGACGCCGCGGAGGCGTGTGGGAAAGTGTCCACATGCAACGACAATTCCCCGGGAGGTTTCGGAAGCCCGTCGAGTTGTCGAGCTATACGACAGAACAATAGTTTCAACCATTTAGGATTTCGGCTACATTGCTTCGTGCTCGACACTCGACACATACGAATGCTGAGCTATTCCGTGGGGGGAATCGATTCTCTTTTGTCTAGATGTGGGTGCACAGAATTGTTGTCAACGAAGAAAGCCTTCTTTAGATGTAATGTGCCATTGGAAAATGGTTTTGTCTAGCGAGAATTTCGTATCTGGGTCAGATCAAGCGCGTACGGAATTTGTTATTAGTTTATTGACTACCCAACTTTGGAAACGTTCACTTTGTTTACTGAAATAGTTTACTTTAACATTTTTAAACGGTTTAGGTTCTACCTAAAATTGTTTCATGGTTACAAGCGAATCTGTTTATTTTGAGGTGTTGTGATGATTTCTTTTGGTTGCTGTGTAGTTAGGTCTATACCTATGGGTGACTGACTATTTAATTAAAGGTTTTAAACTACTTACAGCATACCTTACCTCCCCATACTTATACGGTCTGTAGGTGGCAGCTATGTCATTACACCCGTCGAAGAGCGACTGTTGAACTTTGCAAGTTGGCAAGCTCATGGAATGTTAAGTACAATTTAAATCACTTCAACTTGTCATTCATATAATAGTATATACATCTGTAGGTGCACTAGCTACTTAGAAAAATAAATAAAGTCTAAAAGTAATTAAAGCGGGCATTCTCTTGGTGTTGGCTTGAGCAGTTTGCAGACAGTGCTGTATAAGTTAGTTAGGGCATGGTCTTGGTATATTGTGGAGTCGTCTATCGTCACGAATGGGACGAAGGATGGAGCCAGGGCATGTGTCTCGTCACCATATCTCTTCACAAGTACGGAGCCGTGGTCGCTGTGTACACACCTCCATATTGTTTGAACGTCCACGTTGTCCTGGGATCCGCACTGAAAATTAAATTTTATAGGATTTTTATTGTAAGTCAACTTTTTCTTTAATGAAAAGGAGAAAATTATCTTCTCTGATAAAAAATTTAACAGGATAAACAAAACACAGGTGTCTCATTAAGTAGCAGATACCAACTATTGGTTTGTAGTATTAATTAGGTACAAAAATTTTCTATCTAGTGTTTGCTATGGTCATTTTAAAGGTAATGTTACATGTATGATTTAAAATGTATATAAATATTTTCCCCGTCACGATATGCCCCATCACGCGCTGTAGCAGCGTCGTCGTTTAAAATATTTCAGAATTAAGTGGTTTTCGTCCGGCAAATAAGGAAGTTGTAAATAGATTTTTTGACATTAATTGATACTTTCTATACTTAGATATCTATTCACTCGCTTTTTTTTTCACCGACTTTAAAAAAAGTAGGGTCTCAGATTGACGGAACGGATTTGTATGCGGTTTTCAGAAAAGTGTGTGTTACACTGAGGTGGAGGTTTGAGTACCTATATTAATTAACCGACTTCAAATAAGGGAGGGTTGAAGTTTGATTTTTAAACGTAGTTTATAATTAACATATGGTTTCAAAGCTACTTAAAAAATCGAACCTTATGTACAATGGTCAACAAAACATGTGGAGATGAGGTAAGTGTTACTCTTGGGGTGCCAACTGGTTCTGTATATGGACCAGTTGGCTACATAATGCATGTAAATAGTGTCACCAATGTGATAAAATATTGTAAGACCTTTATGTACGCGGATGACATGTGTCTACTGTACTCATCCAACAATATGTCGGAGGCTCAAACCCACATGCAGACAGACTTTGAGAACATAATAAAATGGGCCCATGACAATGGCATCATTTTAAATTTCTCGAAGACAAAGGTTATGTGTATAAGCTCGCCGTATAACACCTACATAAGGAATAACAGTCTAAACTTACACATAACAGGGCACACATATGATTGTTTACACAATAACAAAGACAGCTGTCGATGCATGAACATAGACATAGTAGACAAATACCGGTACTTGGGTCTAATAGTGGACAATAATTTTAACTGGAAATTACACGTTATAGATGTATGTAAAAATCTTCAATCAATCCTGGGTAAATTCTTTCATCTAAATAAATTTGTAAGTAGAAAAATATTGTATGTATTGTACTATGCACTCGCAGACTCGTTAATTGGATATGGACTAAGTAGTTACGGACTCACCTTCAAAACTCAACTTGATCACATAAAAGAACTACAGACTAGACTAATGAAATATCTCGTAAGCAAAAAAGTTAGATTGAAATGTAAACCAAATTATGAGAGACTGTACAACATTTGTAAAATACTACCAGTGCATACCAAAGTTGAATATCTTATAGCTATGGAGCAGTACAATACAAGTAAATATAAGGAACCTGTAACACATAGTTATCATACTAGGAAGGCTGCACAGGGTAAATTTGTAATACCAAAGGTTAGAAATTACTATGGGAAAAGGACTAGGCAATATTTGACCCCATTAATTTATAATAAAGTATCTTTCATAAGAAATAATAATGGTAACCTAAGTACACTATCTTTAAAAAAAAGACTAAAGATGGAATTTTTAAATATGTTAGATACATAAGTGTTAAAAAAAAAAAAAGTTAATTGTTCTAGACATAAAAAAAAACACTAAAGATAAATTATGTATTCATTAACAGTATAGTATTTATATAGATTAATAGTAGTTATAAATAGCTTTATTGTATAATATAAGAGCGCCACTATCGCCAACAAACTGTTATACAGTTTGGCGATTTTTGATGTATTAGCTAATTTATGTATATTTTTTGTGAATAAATACGTTAAAAAAAAAATAAAAAATAATAAAAGAAGTATTTGTTAAGACGTTTAAAATAGTGAACTAAGTGAAACATTCATGTAATTCTCGATAGTTGTTCTATGTTAGAATAGTTTAAGGTTTCTAAAAGCAATGCTCCCATCTTATAGAAAAACCAACACAAAGGTAAACACGCGCTCCCGAAGCTCTGTATGCTCGGTGCTCCGTGCTAGTAACACTAGTGTTTAAACTGGAACCTGACTGCTAGTCTTTTATGGCAGTACCTATTTACTAGTTGTTCCAACTTGACAGAAACAACTCAGACTACACGTCATTATCTGATTTACCTGTTTTGTGAGAATTATATTTAACTAGGCAGAACTGGTCGAAGCTTATTTTAGGTCCACGCTTTGTACTGTCAATTATATCATGTTCTTGCATGTCCTGTTCGAAGGGACTTGAATTGTCAGTATTTGTAAAAAGGTGTTATTAAGTTAATGTATTTGCTGCAAGCTTTCGAGTACTTATTGTTAGCTTGTTTCTGTTTTGAGTTTAGTTTGTTTTGTGCTTGCATATGGGTACCTAATTCAAAATAGAAAGTTTTGATTTACGTGAGAAATATTATGAAGGACATCTGCATCGTTAAGACCATTTAGCAAATTAAATTTAAATGCTGAAAACAAGGTGGCAATAAAGCTTTTTCTCATTTAATATCTGCTACGATTCTTGTAAGTACATTGTTTTCCACTAATAGACTAACTAATAGTTATGAATATGTGAACTCTCAAGTCCTCGCATACATACCCAATGGAAAATAGAAATGAAGTAATCATATCCGCTGCGGTACGATGTGTTCTGCAAGAGGCAGGTGTTGAAGGAAACAGCTCGGGTGATATTCCGGAGAACATCAATAGCGCAAGCTTGCACCGTGTTGCCGAAACACTCTGGTATCCCGTGCTGACAGGTAAACTTATAGGCACTCTTCACTCGACGAGTCTGAAAGTGTATGAGGAATATCTATAGACAATTTCTTTAAATTGAAGAAGAGCTTAATCTTAGAATAGACTAGCGGTTAGAATAAAGTATTCGTAGGTTTAAATTGTTGTTGGAACCTGAATCTTAAAATGTTTCCTTTAAACGAGATTTTGTCGTTCTACTTAGCCATAGCAACAAAATTACGTAGTAAAAATAGTCTTAAGTACTGCGCAATATCTGTCTTTAGTCTAGTCTAGTACTGATTGCAGGCACGTTAACTATAGCAGGACTCATACAGAAGTGCCTATTATGAACGTTAAGCAATTTGTCTCCGCTACAACCGCGCGGCACCGTGCGTGAAGAGGACATCTCAACGGGGCATGACTTGTAACACAAGTATATTATGTTTTTAAGTATAATTTAAAATCGTTTACAGTCATTTTCCTAGTGTATAACTGGTTTTACACGTGTATAATATCTGTACAACATAACTAGGCACATGATTAAATGTAGGCGCCAAAGCATTCCAGTTAAAGACGCCAGGAAGTAATATTTTAAAACCGACTTCAGTTAACGTTAATCTTACATTTACTAGATACCGCATTAAATCAATTCTAGAGGTAATTACACTTTCAGAAAACGTTCAAGTTAGGACGCTAACGAAGTTTTATTAGTACATAAACTAAGAGATGAATGTGTGTCGTATAATTTGATTTAAAACTGTGATTTTAAGGTTTTACCATGTTCGTTTGCAGTAGAAACTAAAGTAAACCAAGCAGAAATGTCGATAAGTTTCAGTATATTTCAAAACAGATTTCATCGAACAATTAAAAGTTTAAATAATTGGAGCAACAATGCTATGAAAAGGCTACAATCTACTTCTGGCGGTAATGTAGGTTACAAACAATAGAAATGAACAGTTGGTTTCTGAGCGACAAATACTTAATGTTTATATTTCGTGTGAAGTAATGCCTAGGTAACAAAGCGTGTTTTATATAAATTAAAAATATCACATTAACCATAATGATACTGAAATTTCACGTACCTTGGCGTGTCCGTAGGGTATTAAATGTATGTCTAAATGTGGGCCTAGCCTCTCCATTGTAGGCTTTAGCTGTGACACGAAGAACTGAGCACTGAACGGACACAAACTCTCATAGTACACTTTGATTTGCACTTTATCTTTGATTGTGGTCACGTCTGAAGTATCCTGAAACGAACAAATTAACAACATTTCATTGTCTTTGCATTGCAATGAAAACTACATGTTTCAAAATTATTGTAGTCTTTATTGTACGATTTACTCACATATGTTGTTCCATTTTGATTGTCTAGGCTGTTTGTTCTATCTGGATATCCTAAAAATATTTTTATTAAAATAATATTATGCAGGTATTTCATTAAACAAGCGCACTGTAATCAATTATAGAGGTTTGCTTACCTCGCTCACAAATTGCAAGTCCGAGAAATAACTGTAATAACACTATCTTGAAATAATTCATTGTGCACAGTTGGAGGACGACTGAATCTCGCTCTAGGAGGAAAAAAGACAAGTTGGTGACAAAACGTTTGTCGTATCACCCCAGTAGCCTATGACCAGTGATAAATCTTGTGACGATAAATTTTTATCATCCTATACTTGCCTACTTACGGCAATATTTATGTTCGGTTTAATTAATAAATGTCTTTGCCCTCATATCGCGAATTTGTTGTATTCGAGTTTTGATGTTATCGCGCCCGATTCTTGCAATTAGCGTGGGTCATTATTGTCTTAACCTTTCAGTTTACATAGATAATTGCGAGTTTATATTGTAATCACACACTGTTGAGCTCCGTGCAGATATAAAAAAATTAGGCTGCAAGATATAACTGACTTGACTGCATGCCCGTGACTTTGACATTGACTGGGTTTTTTATTTAAACACCGATATTGCAAGTTCAACTGACTTCAACGAAATGTGACTGATTACTGATTCTTCGTATTAGGTACAAATTACGGTTCATTTAACTTGTTATCAAAAAAAGACGAAGTTGGAGAACAGTTGTGATTTATCTAAAACTGGCATTGTGTCAAACAATGGATCCACTAGGCACACAATGGATGCTTTCACAAACTATGTTCATTGGAAGACTTAATTACCTACTTAATGTAGTTCAAGGTTTTAGTTCAAATGTTTACAATATTGTCACACGTTCGGCAGTTGTAGGAGTATCAGCTATTCTTTAAACTTGGCCTTTAAATTGTTTAACACCGACCATAAGTTTTAGACCATAATTATCTAGTGTGGTGTGATGTGGTAGACGGGAGTGATACCACGGCCTCACAGAAAACCGACGTGAAGCAACGCTTGCGTTGTGTTTCGTCGTGTGAGTGAGGTTACCGGAGGCCCAATTACCCCCATTCCCCTACCTCAACCGGAATCCTCAATGATACTCAAACTCCAAATCCCCAAAACGCCATTAACTCACTTGTAACGCCTCTGGTGTTCCAGATGTACATGGGCGACGCCGATTGCTTACCATCAGGTGATCCAGCTCGGTTACCGGCTTATGCCATTAAAAAAATCGTAATCGTTAACTGTTCCTTATTTTATAGGTGTAATTGTATAGAGTGTTTTAAGTTCTACTAATCGAAATAAAACACAGATTGCGTAAATTATAAAGAAACATTTAATATTTTTAATACTACGCTCACTGTGCCTGTGCACACGCTGCGGGTGGGTGCTTGAACGCTGCGCAGACGTCTTTCATGAATTTACTCCCGTCGTTTTCTACCCCGTTGATGAGGATGTACGGAACGTACTTGAAGCCAACCTTCTTGCTTTCATCTCCAAAGTGTTTGAGTAAGTACATACCTCTGTCATGTTTCGCACAAAACTTGATCTGACCTGGGTGTACACCCAGAATTCTTCCGCACTGGAAATAATTAGGAATTGTTTTAGTAATGGTAGAAGTTTATGGACTTGGTAGTTAATTAGTTAGATTTATAGACTACTACAATGCTAGATAAAACAATCAACTACATCCTATTTTACTTTTTAAGATATTTATAAAGTACACAGAAAGGTTCTTCTTCATGAGCAGAGTGCGCAGTCGCGGCGAAGTCGCACAGCCTACAGCCTGTAGGCAGGCCTCCCCTCTGTGGTCCGAAACTAGTAGAGCTTTTCTCAGTATATTCACGTGAGTGTCCCGCTATTTTTAATTAATTTACTATGTCTCACGATAGTTATTATAAAAACAATTCGATATTAATTGGGATAATCACGTACAGCTCGTATCTAAAAACTAGCCACTGTCGCGCGGTTTCACTCCGTATGCTCGGCTCCTATTAGTCGTAGCGTGATGTTTTACAGCCTATCCTACAGCTTATACTATAGGCTCTAAGCCCTATAACCTTCCTCGATAAATGGACTATCCAACACAAATAAAGTGTTTCAAATCGAACCAGTAGTTTCAGAGATTAACGCGTTCAAACAAACAAACTCTTCAGCTTTGTATAATAAACAGTATAAGATAGGTACATATAATATTAAACCTAATATTTAAAGTAATAAAAATTAATATGACATGTCAAAGGTTAATCCTATGTAACTTCTACCAAATAGATAACTAGAGGATTGTTTTTCGGTACAGTTCTACCCACTACCATATCATACCTCATCAGCAGCTTGATCATCAGATCCATTGTTCTTTCTTGCAGAGTCCATCAGACAGGAGTTGAAGAATACAGTTGCAGTGATGTTGCTCAGGTAGTCGATGGCACAGGCGTGCAGTTTGTTACCGTAGCACTCCTTCGGACCATGCTGGCATTTGAATTTATAAACGCCATCACTGATTTCAGTTGTCTGAGAAAATATAATTTATCAAACTTATATATATTATAACGGGTTAAAAGACTACAATATAATGAATACGAATACACATTATATATAACTTCGCAATTTTACATATAAGTAATTTAATGTAATCAATATTTTGGTATCTAAAACCAATTCAGTTAAAAGATGTCGGGAAACATTGAACTGTAAATTACTTGGTTAAAATGAAAAGTGCTATAACAATAAATTAGGAATTAAAGACATTTTACGGATAATGTAGTATGTATTAGATGATATTAAATGTTATCTATCGTTGTGTCGGCATGTAAACCATTGGTAGTTTGGTAGTTACATACCAACTTTAACATTTATATATAGGTAAATATAGAGTTTTTATAAACTCTTGGTATATAAAATCTAGGTTTATACCTAACGAAAGTTGATAAGGCCAAAATACCTTTCTTGAAATAAATTTATTTCTTATTTATTGTTACTTAGAATTAAAATTACCTTAGGAATGTAGTCCTGGAAAAAGAAATTAAAATATAGAAGATTTTTTTTATCTATAAAAGTGGATGAAGTATTTAAAATATTTAAAACTAAAAAATTAGGGATATGTGTCTAAATTTTTTTTCCAGTTAATACCCAATATATTTTGGCATGGGTGCATATGGGCTCTTTGAAAAACGAAACTTATTTGTAGTTGTCGAAGTTCGTTAAGTGAAAAGTCAAAAAACTTCGATACATGTTCGATACAAAAACTTACAACGAGAACTTATTACAACAACTCGTAACTACGTGACATGAACTTCTTTGTTTTCGAATCTTTCGAACTAAAATAAAAATACTTCGTTACAGTATTTGTTATCGAAATACAACAACTACAAATTACAAAACTAGTGTGATTTTTTTACACGACATTGAAGTCATTCAACCAAAGTTTTAGGATGAGCTTTGAAGTATGTATGTAGACTTTTTGGAAACGTTATTAAAATAATACACACTTTGTTTTATATCAATCCTGAATTAATTTGAATTTGTACCCATTTTATACACATTATTTCATCTCCTCTGTTTCTCATATTTCACCAAATCATTTTGTTACTAACCTAGAAATAGTCCCTGGCTTCCATAGGAAAGCAAAGTATTCATAGGCTTCGTCCACGTGGATTACGATAACCTCGTATAACCTAGACTATACACATAATTATACAAAACTATACAGTTTTAAATTTTTTTTTATTTGCAAACTAAACTGGTGTAAATACCTCATGCAGTATGGAGAGATGAAGAATGCGGGGCATTTCCTCCTTGACGTGTTGTTTTGACCATAGGAATTAGGTTGAGCAGAGAAAGTCCGGTTTGAAACTTCATTTTTTATATTGAAACGATTAAATCATGTTCTTCATTTGGAAAGCTTGTTTTTTGGAGTGTGCAATATGGTAAGAAGAATCAAGTTTTGATTAAAACAAAAAACGTTTTGCATCGATGTGTACCGTTAAAGACATTCTTAGAAAGACGAGAATACTTTATAAGAAATTTTGAAATAAGTACCTCAAGGTTTCCCTCATGCAAAACCTTTCAGGACCATAATTTTTCCAATTCAAGTACAATCAAGTACATAACAAAAGCGTGCAATACAATAACTTAGTCAGACAAACTAATTAGGTGACGTCGAACTCGGAAACCAGCGAGACAGTGTCAAAACAAACAAAAATAGACTCTATAGTCTACACCTAGGTACATAGTACTTCAAATTAAATCCCGGGATTGTGTTCGGAAAAACATTTCTGACCGAACCGTTAACAGACCGAACATTTTGTTTCAATGCACCAGACATCACATTGATAAACAAAATAAACAAAAGAGTGCGATTTTGTTCTGTTCGTTACAATAGACACATGGGAAAATAGTATTTATTTCTTTAACTATAAAATTCAAGTTGGTTGGTACGTCGCGGAATGATAGTGTAGTTGTGTTACAAGTCTCATCTCAATATCTCCAAATAGTATCTAAAATCTCTGTTAAAATATTACAGGAAAGAAGATTCCGAAAAACGATAACTTATGTTCTTATCCACAGTCGCTATATACTAAACATATATTAATATATTATATACTAAACATAGCGACTGTGACTGACTGTGAAAGTAGGTAATGATCATAATGAGTTAATGTTTTAGTATCTATCAGTTCCGAGAAGAGGTAAACAATATTTATTGGTACGTGTTTATACTCAGCCAGTTCATCAGCACGCATAAGTATCGGATAATTAGGATTCAACGTCTAAATATCACTATTATTTGATGTAGATTGCATACACGGTAGAGATCAATTCACGTATTGTGAAAATACCATTTTTCCTTCTAAAGAACGTCCTAAGTAACTATGCGATGTTTACTAGTATTGTAACAATACACGTTTCTGTGTATAGATCTGAAGGGGTCAATAATACGATTAATTTATTTACCTACGTCTGATAACACAACAATTTGTATCGCTCGAGAGTCGAGACTAACGACTTAATTGTTTAACTCTCGAAGAACATACATTTGATACACAAACTATTTCTTACTATTCTTACCTGTGCATTCCCATAAGGATAAAGATGCAGTTTCAAATACGGGGCTAGTTTCGCCACCGTGGGTTTTAAACTCATCGTATCAAAAATTCTGCAATCGGGACACAAACATTCGTAGAACAATTTGATCTCAACCTTTTCTGGTTCTTCAGTTGGTTCCTAAAACGAATAAATATACGTGAATTAAAAACAATAAAATAATGAAAACCATATTTTAAAATAATGTAGGTAACGTACCTTTCTGTCTACTTCATATAAGTCCGCTTTAAAATTTTGCATCGGTGTTAGTCCGCCATCAATTAGATTTGAAAATATTTCTGGAAACGAATTGAGTCTAGTAATATGAGAACAAAAATCTTCTATATTAAAAACATTTCAGTTCTACGTACCGTCATCCTGTGCCCTAACTGTAATCGAGGACAAACTTATTATCAAGAATACATGAGTTTTATATAAAAACATTGTTATTTATGTGCGGGCGAAGGCAGTAAGAAGTTACGAACTCCCCTTGGAGCGGCCGACCCGACGAACACTAACGATAACGCGACATCACTAGCCATTTATGTTACGTTACAGTTATTTAAGACCTCATTCACAGAATAATTAATGTGTGATTTACGAATGTGAAATTACTAAAACATTGTTTTTATGTAAAACATATGTAAAGAATTGATGATAACTTGATAACGCTTTGAAAACGATTGACTACCTACATTTATTTAAAATTTATTGTTCAATTTTATTACAGTTTTGTGTTACCGCAACACGTACCTAAGATTTATGAAACACATTTACTGATAAAGGTTTGTGACAACAACGATAATATTTCGCTAACATTTACAGTTTTATTAATACCTACTTCGTACTATACCTCTATAATAATTTGTATTGCAATACTTTTCTATTTTGGATTGACATGGTGTTTATTGCAATTAACTGTCCATGGCAAATATCTTAAAACATGCTTGCGGAGAACGTGTGTCGTGTACCATTCAGTGCTTACTTCTAGCGAAGTGGTAACGTTATCGTCTCGTCATCTGCCTTTGACCGTGTTATGGGTTCTCTTATTTCCTTTTTTGATAGATAACAAACATAACAGTACTTACTTTATGTTTGCATTTCACTTAAAATCAAATCTCAACTTAGTGGCTATAAATTAAATCAGTGTTATGATTAAACACTAAATATCATAAGGTTGTATCTGCAGATTAATTAATAAAAGCCAAAATATGTATAAATATATATATATTATATGTATTTTTATTCCCAATTTATTTATTCACTTTTATAGTATTGTTATTTAGTAATATTGATAATGTATCTTATGTAATTTACATTATACCTATATATACGGATATATGTATGTATTTACAGTTATGCATCACATAAACCATTATACCTATTACACCTACTGTTGCACATCTCTGCATCACCCCATGGTTGACTGTTAGAGAATGCCACCCGGCATTAAGTCCGCCATCGTATGTTTGTTATACAGAAGTGTTAATAAATAAATAAATAATTAAAAAGCCAGTGAAAATGGCACCATGATATGCAAATAATGAAATTAACCACAAACGAAATTAAGCTGCTAAAAACAGGTGTATAAAATGTTATGCGAGCATTTTAACAGTACGAACAAATAGACGTGAAATAAAACAAATTCAATTTTACCAGACTTAACGAAGGATTAATGAGAATAAAAAGATTGTGAGTGAGAGGATTAAATTTTCACGTAGTTATCAGATGGGAGGTTCTGTTGCAATTAGTCGTGTGTTTGCAGGCCTCGGGTCACCGGGCATCTGCTCTCGTTCGCATTTTATTTGATGAACGGACGATGCCATCCACTGTTCGTTTGCACAACAGACAAATTTTATCTCGTTGGCTAGAACCGAAATTTCATCCCATCCCTAGTACACGCCACCTGGTGCTGATGGAAAAGTTGTACCTAAACCTTTTTTATTTTCATTTTTGATCGGACATGTGCAATCGGTATTTCTGTGCCTCAAGTAATTGGAACTACGGTTTTCGTATATCGGATTGAATCGGTTTGAAAATTGACTGCAACCGACTCCGAGTGCAGCTGTAGATAACTGTACAAAGGACACAAATTGTAGACCATTGAAACATTGGATTATAGATTGTTAAGTTTGTATATGTCCTCAGTTTATTTCAATATGGCATGTTATAAAACCAACATGGTAGGAAAACGAAAGAAGTCGCTCGACTAGATAAATATGAGCGTATAAGAAGTTTCCTCGTCATATGAGCGTCTGAAGGGCAGACGGGAGTGCAGTCTGCCGTCTGGCACAATAGCATCGCGGCTAGCTGTCGGGGCTTTGTTACCTCACCTCACATATTACTTTTTGCGACGTACTTTAGAGAAAATTGAATTGTAACATAGTTTCACGAACAGATGAATACAGTCTGCACACAAAGAGATGGGGGATGTTCTTGATGAATGGAAAGATTTAAGCTGCTCCACTCACTAACTGTACTAACTTTGTTGAGAGCTACAACTTCCAACTTGGTTTCAGTTTTGTCGGATAATAATGATGTGTATTCGTTGTACACATGCTGCATGTTGGGGTAGATGAATGACAATTACTGTACAAGTAGACAATTCGTGTAAAATGTGATTATTATTTTGTTGTAACGTAAGATCATATTTTACACCTAAAATATATAAATGCTGACACAACAAACGTGTAATTATTGTCTGTACTTGATCCAAACACATGCATATGATAATGTTGTAGCGATTGTAGCATGAAAATTTCATCTCATTTATGCACCATGATATTTCCTTACACTTCGTACGAATAAAGAAATTGTTTTATACTAAGCAAGTAAAGTAAGCAAGGAGATAAAATCAAGGTGCAATTAATAGCAACTGTTGTAGACTATAGTTGTCGCACCATTTTTCAGGGGTATAATGGTTGTCGACGCTCCCGCCTGCCGTCGCCCCGCTTCGCTTCCTCGCCTTTAATGAGATTTCTCTCCAGACCCTCAGCGCTGATTACAAACAGGCTAATAACACTATTTAACATCTCACTGAGTGCATATAAATGCAGATTAAGGCTAGACGCCAATTAATTGAAAGTCTGAGCTGTTTTAACTAAGCTCTCGGATTAGAGAAATATTCATTTCGATTATAAAATTTATTTTTTTATTTAATTTCTTCTCTTAATCTTACTCTATGGTATGATGCTATAATTTTATTATAATCTGTATTAGTACATAATGCACCATACACTTGCACAAACATTACAATAAATACAATAAACCTCATGTTTTGAGTATACCTATTTGATTATGTCGAGTAAGTATATACAACACAACTTGAAGAAGTAGATCTACCGTATTTAAAATACTTCAGTTATTATCTAATTTCAATTAAGCCTAACGTAATCAGTGGCTTGCGATTCATAAATCTCTCATAATAACCCGGTCGATGCTCTATGGGTTGGAACTTGCATCCAACTTTTTAAACCGTATATTTTACTTAGGAACTCGATAGGTTTCCGTAAAGCCCAGTATTCAGGATGGCGGTAGTGATTCAACAAGTTCAACTTAATAAAAACTCGGTCCTGGCTGGAAGCGTTCGGCTATCGCCAGCTCTACTTTGGTACTTATATACCCGTATTTTTCTACCTCAATTTTAAATTCAAAGAATTCTCATTTTAACTAAATTGAGGTGCTGACTTTTGTTCAAAACCTTTTTATTTACGCAGCTGAAAGAAATTTCATAAACCAGTTTTATAATTATTTATTTAGAAATGAAGAAAGGAACACTTATTGTGACACAAATGATACTTTTAGATAGTAAAAATATATTCAAAATACTCTGTCGTGTCCTACTCTCACAAGAGGAAAATTAAAGACTCGTATAAAAGGTATTCACACAGCATTAAGCACACAATCAACGCAAACATGTACAAGCGAGGCAAAGAGTACGAGTATAATGATAAACAAGGTTTACTTTTAAAAATCTGGTTTAAAGATTTCCGCATTAAGATGAAAAGGGGCAAAAAACGCGGAAAAGAGGGCATTGATAATATACATAGTGGAAAGCTCGACAGGCAGGTGGTCGGCGCTCGCCGTTTATTTATCTGCACTGAAATGAAAAATTGAAGTGAATGTTGTTGCGCTGAAACCCGACTCACTTCAATATTTAGCTGCATTTTAGAGACGGAGTCATTATCGTTTTTACAGTGATCTCAGAGTCATAATAAAAACTTTTATAATTCTCGTTATTTGCCAGCCGATTGGTATGAACAGTGTCATTTTGCATTTGGTTAAATAAGAATATGTAACTATCTAAAGTTTTAATGGCTATGGTTTTGTTTTACTTTCAGCTACTTTATGTTAATTTTGCTATAAGTCGCTTGTAAAAACTAAAACTAGTACGCGTTCTTTAGCCGTCCTTGTACCTATTACTACTGGGCCAGACTCAATAATATTATATAACAAAGGTTGGGTACATTCCATGTAGCATATTCGCAAAATTCGAAAGTCAATTCCCTGAGTTCTCCCAGACGCTCGTACCGAGAAAATAAGTGCTTATTACAGACAAATGGCTCCAATAGCATTTCTTAAGCAATTACAGTCGTAAGTAAATATAATTATAACGCAGCCGAGTATATTTTCACGCATTTACCCAGTTTTCCAGCAGGTGATGGTTCTCACGCTATCCTGACATTAATGTCTCGTTGGAGGGGTTCGTATCCACGTTAAATATTAATATGGATCGGCCGGCTACCTTCGAATTATTATTGACGGAGGCACAAGCACAATATGCCTCTTGTATATTTTTTCCTTTACACACTTGAAGGGTAAAAATTTTTTTGCACTTTATGAACATACATTTATGCATGACAAAGAAAATATTTCGCTAAAATTACTTAATTTTGGTAGCGTAACATGATTCAAATCTACATTCGTAGCACGTTACACTCGTCATTACAGCCAGAAAGTTTATTGGTGGGTTCAAATATCCATAAAAAATATAAGTACCAATTGTTTGGGAACGAGCGCGAGGTTAATAATAAACAGGTACAATAGCGAGTCATATTGTAAAGCGGAATAAACTATTTAAGTACTATAACCTTGTAAAGCGTTAGGAACTGATTAGGTGCTTATTATACTCATAATTTCATACGGCATTACATTATTTTATGAATCAAAACAATGATAGATTATCTTCTAAAAGATTTGTCAGTCTGTGTGTCTAATTTTTTTATAGATGCTGGCATCTAAAAACATTATTTGGTTGTATTGTTTGGCTTTTAAATGCTTAATTTATTAACCGCTCGAATGCCTGTATATGAGACACAATAGAAAATATATTGTGTCTCGCGTGGATCCACGCTTAGACACACGACGAGACCTGACATCCAGTTCTGTTCAGGAATCGAAACCGATACACATTGCGCGGCAGACGTTTGTCCAACCTGCGCGCAGCGCACACACAATCATGCAGTCAATTTGAATCTAGTCTAAAAGGCTTACAATATGGTAATAATTTAACAGTAGAAAATAAGAAAAAAATGACTTCGTTTACAAACAATTATAATGAATATTTTATAACGAGCAGCTTTTCGCGAGATAAAGTGTGCCAGCATAGTTTTCGCTCGGCCCCATT